ACCTGGGCCGGGCCATCGTTCTTCAGTACGAGCCAACGATTTACATACAAAAATCGGTGTTGGGAAATAACCACGCGAGCCACGGAAGAACGGCTCGCCCCATACACTTAGGAGCCCTTGTTAAGGTTTCCTTTTGTTCGGGTGCAGAACTGCGGCTATTTCAGCCAATCGTATCCTGGCATCGACCAAAGAGCAGTGGATGTTACTCTGCAAAGATATTCGAAATCATCGAAATAAGAAACAACAACCCCGGCAAGTGCCGTATTGAAGGGAGCGTGTAGGCAATTCGGAAGGTGTGAGGCGCCATTATCCTTGCACAAAAGTACGAGGCATGACATAAGAGCCGTCAAAAATGAAAGAGCAACGAGCAAAAATCAAAACGCGACGGGCGAAAGAAAGCCCTCGGACCCGGGAGGCACAAGATCACAAAAGCCAGAAACTCTGGGTTCTTCCATATTCTTCTTTATTTTCTAGGGTGAATATGACGGAATGCCCAGAATAGAATCGTGCTCACCAGCCAGACTAATTGAGGATCGCATGGCAAAAGGCTCAAGCAAATCAGGAGAAGACACAAGTACGGGAGAAACACAATATCATTGCGCATAACCGAGATCATGGGTCTCATTGATTGTTGACTCCAGCCCGCCATTCGAACGACCCAAGGTGCTGTGTTGCAAAGAATAAAAGACGGTTAAGCGGCTAAACGTCTACACGCCTAAAAGGCTAAACGCTTAAGAGGCTATGAGAAGGACTCTCTGATATGTCGGCCTTAGAGGTCAGAAGGTAAACAATCGCCCATTCTCGCGCCCTCAATAGGCATTTGGCATTGCTTGCTTTCCGTGACGGCTAAGCGGTTATCTGAATTGTGCGGTAGCCTTGCGAGATGGTGAGTGCTGCATGATGCAGCCTTCCCTACGGATTCCAGGAACGCCATGCGAATGCAGCGGGGACCGGCATTTGCGGTCCACTTTTACCAGCTCTTGCCCGAGAGATGATATGTCACAAGCCGCCGCCCGTCTACGATGTACGGCGTACCTTAGCTTGCCAGCATGCATGGAGCTCGAATGTATCTTTTTGTGGCAAGTGTGCCAGATATTCTGCTGGCGCAATGCATTCTTGACGCTTGTCAATCGCCGTTGAGGGGTGTAATTTTGTTGATCGTAGCTTTCTGGAAGTTCGTCTCGGCCAAAACCCGCCATTTTTGTTTAAGATTTGCGCCTCAACAGCTCCTTCCGCGCCAAAAAGCCTTCGTTCTTGAAAACCTCGTACCTCAAGTTCAGTTCTTCCTGTAAAAAATTGTAGTTCTGGAACGGGCAAGAGAAGGCGCAACGTAGTGGCGAAACAAGAAAATGGGGCGTGACAGCTGAGCACAATGAGGAAGGAGCTATGGGATAGCAATCCGGGGATAGGAAAGGCCAAGGGGCGAGATAGCGCTCGCGCTCTTATTTCTCGCTACGTTAGGCCCCTTTATGGAGTGTCGACTTTCTTCGTCCCTGGTGGGGCGCAAGGCTACTGTTCCCTCCCCTGGCGCCACATCACCTCCGCGTTTTTACTTTGCACCTCCCTCAGCATTTGCCCTCCTCCGCCATCATCCGCCTCCGTCTGCCATACATCCGGGCAACCTCCGCCATCCCACATCCTCCACAGTCCGGGGGACTTCACCAACTGCTGCAAGCGGCGCCACATGGGTTTGGCACTAGACTCTGAGGAACTCGCTCCAAGACCGGCAGTGATGTGACTCGTTCCTGTGGCCAGCCGTCCACCCACACTATCGATCCAGACATTCATTTCTTCTTACGCGACTGAAAGCAGAAACGAAAACGAAAAGAAGGCCCCTTATTTACGTCAGGATCCCACTTTGTCTCTTTTCCTTCTCTCGTCTGTTTTCTACTATTTCCACCCATCCGGAACACGCCCTCAACCTTTTAACCTTTTTTTCCACCCTCCGTTTCCTTTCCTATAATTTGCGTTCATCTTGCGGGGAGTGCTCCAGCCTCATCCGGCCTCTGGCCATCACTCTCAGAAACCCTCTCTTGCCTCTACCCCTGTCTCGTCTTGTCTCCCCGCGACCCCCAAGCCTCTTCCCTGAATTGCAGTGTCTACGGGGTGCGCGTTGCAGGGACCTAACTGTCACGTTCTATTAGGCGCGCAGAGCTTGGTTCGCTGGCCATATTCGGCGAGGACTAACCGATGCAAGCACTGACATTCGTCGGAGACATATAAAACAGACGTCTGCCATCCCTCCTCATCCCATGCCCTTCTTCCCTCGTCACTTTCCTCCCAAACGCACATTATTATCTCCCTCCTTCATCCGTCTCTCCTTCTTTCATACGTTGTTCCTCCCCTAACGTGGCCATCATGGGCTACATCACTATTTGGAAGAGGCTGTCGCCTCGCCAGCTCAGCATTTCCATCCAGGTATTCTCTCTGATCAGCATCTTCTTCGAGGGCTACGATCAGGGCGTGATGGGTGGTGTCAACTCGGCGCCTCGCTATGTCCAGGAAGTTGGGATTGGTCTGCCTGACGGTACCATCACAAACACTGTGCACGAGGGTGGCATCGTCTCCGTGTACTACCTGGGCTGCATTTTCGGCTGCTTTGCCGGTGGCTGGGCTGCCGACCGCATAGGGCGTATCAACGGTCTCTTCATTGCGGCGATGTTTGCGCTCGTGGGTGGCGCCCTGCAGGCTGCCACACAGTCCAGTGACTTTATGATCGTCGCGCGCGTCATCACGGGCATCGGCACAGGCGCTCTTACGGGCATCACCCCCGTGCTTGTGTCAGAGGTCTCCACAGCCAAACACCGTGGCGGTTTCCTGGGCTACGTCTTCATCGCAAACTACCTGGGCATCTCGCTCGCGTACTGGATTTCCTTTGGCCTTGCCTTTGTCGACAATGGCTATTCGGACGTTCGCTGGCGCTTTCTGCTGGCCTTCCAGACGCTGCCCGCCCTGTTGTTGCTGGCCGGCATCAAGATGCTGCCTGATAGTCCCCGTTACCTGGCCTCTGTTGGCCGCACCGACGAGGCTCGCGAGGTCCTGACGCAGCTGCGCGGCGGCTTCGGCGAGGAGGTCCACCACGAGTTCCTCGAAATCGTGGCGGTCGCCAAGGGCAGCCAGAAGAGCTCGCCCATCCAGTTTGCCAAGATTCTCGCCGGCTGCGGTGGCAAGCCCGGCCACCGCCTCGGCCGCCGCGCTTGGCTGTGCTTGTGGCTGCAGATCATGGCCTCGTGGACTGGCATTACGGCCGTCACGGCCTACTCGCCGACGCTTCTCAAGCAGGCCGGCTACACGGATCTGACGCAGAACGGTCTGGCCGGCGGTATCAACACGATTGGCATTATTGGTACCATCATCAGCGCTCAGATTGTTGACCGCCTGGGTCGCCGCCGCTGCCTTATTGGTGGCGCCTTCAGCCTCTTTGCTGTTAACCTGATCGCCGCCAGCGTCTACGAGGGCGCTCGCCATAACCCGACCAAGGTGGCCCAGTACGCGCCAGCTGCTGTGACAATGCTGTTCCTCTTCAACCTCTTTTATGCAGCTACCTGGGGCACCGTGGCGTTCCTGATTCCTACTGAGATCTGGTCTTCCGACATGCGCGCTCAGGGCAACGGATTTGGCATCACGGGCTGGGCCATTGGTGTCGGCTGGACCACTCTGGTCAACCCAATCATGTTCGCCCAGCTGGAGAGCCGGACCTACTATTTGTTTGCCGGTCTCAACCTACTTTGGATGCCAATTGTCTATCTCTGTATGTTGTTTCCCCCCTCTTGTTTTTCATGCGGCTCGCTTTGCTGTGTTTTGTCGTTCGTCTTGCTAACCGCCATACACAGTTTATCCGGAAACCGCCGACCGCTCGCTCGAATCCATCGATGCCCTTTTCTCCACAAGCAGCCCCTTCAACTGGAACATGGAGAAGGCCTACCAGCAGCACGGTGACGTCCTCGCCGAGCATCCTATCTCTGATCCTTCACTTGAGTCAGCATTGTCCAGCCGCGAGCAGGACAAACCTGTCAACGTGGCGCATGTCTAAACAGCCGGCCAGTTTCGCTTAATCCCTCCTTCTCGGGGAGAACGAATGCCACATTATCATTTCTGGACAATTAAAAAAAATCTATGGCGACGACCAACGATACCCCATTTCCTCTTTGTTGCCACCTTCTAAACTGGTATGCGCAGGCTTCCTGATAGATTTCTATGCCCTCGCCACCGTTATCTGATGGTTTTTAATAGTTTACATATTCTTTTAACTACACCATGTAAATAATTTCTTCGTTGCTACAGTCTAATATGAGAACCCTGACCCCATCATATCATAAACTAGCGAGGCGTTGTTGTGAACGTGTATAGGCGGTATCATGATATTTACTTCGATATATATATCACTGCCCGTATCATGGCACCTCGCGCACATATCGAGGAAAGATGCCTCACGTAAATGAGAAAGTAACAGTCGTACGCCGTAAACAATGCATTGTTCATCTTCGCAAGGCTTCTGCACGTGATAATTGGACCGCCACCCCCTGCGACAGTTGCTTTTTGGTTTTTTAGTCCGTTCTACCTTCCCTTTTCGGTGACGATCTGATACTGTCCATCAACCCCGGTAAGATGCAGGAGGGGCGATTGCATTTTTTGGGATCATATCTCGATTTTCCCGCCCGTTTTCTCTATTCCTGTACGGGATAGTCACGTGTGGAGTACGTCTAAATGTTTCATGTACGATGCCCAGTTAGGCAAGTATGTCAAAAGGCCAAGGCGAGGAAATGTCGAAATAGGGATCAGGCTGAGGCCTCTATCCATTGACCCTTACGCCAGGGCATCTTATGCCATACTTTTAGTCTTTCTTTGCACTTCTTTCTTTTTGTCATGACGGCGGTCGTGTGATTCAGAACACGCATGTATTGATGTACTGCCCGGCCATGCTGCAATTGATGTCTGTCGTCGTTATCATGGCTGGACACTGACGTAGCACAGACCGTATTCGCCCGTCACCATTCCCCATGCTGCGAAACCCCCCCTCCCCCCTTCTATTTCGTTTGCATCTCGCGAACTTGGCTCCTATATGGCCTGAGCCCATGGCCAGGGCCAGTGGCCTCGACCTCGATAGAAACAACACGTCGTGTGTCGCCATTCTGCCTATTCATGATCGATCGACGGCTTTCGCGTTTCTTGTCTCGCGCCTGGCCGCCCGGTGCCTGCCACGATCCGCCGGAAAAAGAGAACGGCAAACGCCCTGCACGGGGTGGCTGAAACACTCTTCGTCGGCATCGCAGACTTTACGTGACGAAAGCCAACTTCTTCGAACAGGACAAATCCTGCGTTTCGAGAAGTCCACGTCGTCGGCCAAATCGACAATGTCAACAATGCCAAACGTAGAGGCGCCGCTCTGGCAATGCGGAACGCGAGGTGACTACAACCTCTCTGTTCACACAAACAGGCGACGCCAGCATCGCCTCAAGTATCTGCAGTTCCAATACCTCGTCCACAGCGCAACAAATACAGCAGACGGCAGCACATGGCAGCAGACAGTAGCAGAATAGAGTTTCCACAGACAGCCACCATTGATAGGCAAAGCAGCACGTGGCAAGTTGCTTTTTGGCATATTGATCGATCGTCCACGTCTTCCAACTGTTGTGTACTACCTTCTTTAGTTCGTCTCTTTGTCTCTCCGGTCACCTTTTCGTCCTCCCTTTCAGCCTCACCAACGTGTCCTCCCGCTCTCTACGGAGTGTTCGTGTATACCGTCTTCACCCCTAGTTTGCGAGGCTGTTGGAACTTGCTGTATAGCGGTTCTCTAGGCTAGCAACGGGGTTGCTCTTTCCTTTCTATCGCTGCTTCCGGGCTCTTGTCATCGAGGCTACCGTTTGCTTTTGCTGCTAAGGAGATGATCGCATATTGCTCCTGCCTTCGTTACTGAGGCTCCTCGGGGCGCAACTTCCAACAAAAAAGAAGTCGATGTACCTTGCACGTCTGTCTGTACCTTCATCGCCACCTGCAGTACAGTACATACGACACAAGCTATGTGAGTGGTGTGGTTGTGGACCAGCCCAGAGTCCGCCCTGTAGCCTACGGAAACAAAAACAATTAATTCTCCGTAGTCCTATCCACACGTTTCTTTAATCTTTCATTCTTGCTTCCGGAATCCAAGGAAAATGAGAGGACAGTCGAAACACAGGTGAAGACACGCAGCGTATCGTTTTCGTGTTTCCCTCGTTCTTTCCGTTTAGGGCAATTTTAGTTTTTGTTAGTGGTTTGTAGCGCTTCTGTATGACAACTGGCTCTTTCCCTCCCTTTACCTGCACGGCCTTTTTTCATTGTCTTTCCCTCCATTCTCCACACACACACGTTTTGGCACCTGCCTCCAGAGCAGACAGCAGTCTGTTGCTCTTCGCATGGGTTGTCCAGTCTCGTTCACGGGCCCTACTTCTTTCTAGCCCAGCTGTGCCCCCAAAAGACGGACTCCGCTCGCTTTCTAGTGGGAGTAGGAAAGAAACCAAAAAACAGAAAGAATGAAATAAAAAAAAATCGCAAAAGAATCGCATGAGAACGGTCAACAAGGAAAACAAATGGCTGCCACTTTGCCTTTATTTCTACATTTGTCTCGTATTCTTCTTATCCAAGTGCAAACAATTCAGAACTCAACCTCTCCACACTTTGCCCGTACTGCAACGCCTTTCCTATCCGGGGCTAGAAAGCCAACGTCTCTTCCCGCTCTCGACCTTTCTTCATCGAGTGAAGGCCGCGCTTAAGCAGGAGAAAGGGCAGCTGGCGGGAAACGGGAAATAACAAATGTAGAAAGAGCCCAGTGCAGAAAAGCCAAGCTGCCCCGGAGACGTACTCGGTGCTTTTTCTCTACTGAGTATGTAGTAGTATGGGGGAGTAAAAACGCAACAAAAGATCTGAGCATAAAGGGACCCCCCCTGTGCCTCGAAGGTGACGGAGCACTGCAGGACTGGGGTTCGGTACCGCATCGAAACGCGTCTACCAAAATGTACAGAGAACGTGCTGACGGAAGTAAAATCAGCTAAACGAGCAGACGAATACCATTCCGAATAATCCACCAGGAAGCCCTGCCGCCAACAAGCAAGATGTCAAAAAGGTGAAAGCAAAGAACGGGGGTAGCAGAGCAGGAAATAGAGCGGCATTGGCGGTTGATAACGGCTGCAAGATTGCCACTTGGGTTTGGTGATGGTGCATACCCTAACTTTTAGGGGCATACAGGGGGGAATGGTGGTGGCAGTAAGGGTGGGGTTATTTTGGTATGTCGCCAAGGAAAAGAGCACGAGGACGCCCAGTCGGCGAGACATGCGTGATTTTCCTATTTCGGCCCTGAGCCTCGGCGACAGCACTGCACTTTGCCTTCCTTTTTGTCCCGTTCTAGGTCATTTTGCGATTTTGGGGGCATTTTTCGTGCTCCCGCGTGCCCCTCCTCTGTACCTCATTATTCGGTGTCTGATTCGGCGATATCTGAGCCCCCATTTGCCAGCTGATGGAACAAGCCATTTCTTTTTCGTTCTGATCGACCAGCTATCTCAGAATGCCACCAGCCATTTTTAATATACACACAGCCTGCCTCATCGTGCGTCTTGCGTTTGGTCTGGTTGGGTCGCGTTCGTGGGTCGCAGTCCTGGGTTTGTCGTAGCAGCGTACGTAGGAGGTGTAAGATAGCGTGCGTGATTCGATGGGAGGTTTTCTGCCCGTGTTCTGTCCCTGGTCATCCGCTCTGTACCGTAATCACCCTTTTTCTTGGGTATAGCACAATCCTCTCTCTCATGGACCCATCTCTTGTCCCCTATTCTAACAACACCACCTTAAAAGTCCCGTGTGCCACACTTGTCATTTGACCGACGAAAAAGGTATTTGTAAAAGACCTGGCCAACATGTGCTCCGTACGACGTAAGACTACAAAAGCATCATCGTGGCAAATATGTTAAAGCTTTGTGAAAGAGGCCTTGTGGAGCCTGTGCAAGGACCACCATCCCCATAATCCGATGCACAAGGCATACTGACGCCCAGCCCAAAGCAACAGCGACACCACGAAACCTTTCCCCTTCCCCTTCACTTTGAATTTACGTTGGTATATTGGTTGGTGGTCCAGGCTTGTCTCTTCTCTCGGCTCGGTGCAACGCTATTCGTTTTTCCTCTTCTTCTTTTCTCTCATTTTTTTTGGTCTGCTCCCCCACTCACCCCTGATTTCCTTGACGCCCATCATGGTGTTGAGATCCTCGCTTGAATCCTCAAGGTGGAGCCATCATGGGCTCTTCCGTCTTGCCCGTTCACCCCTTTCCCTTCAGAGCAAAGGCCCAAAAGTATTCGTAAGAAGAATACATTCACAGATGCGCCATGAGAAAGAGGGCTAGCGCACGTTGACGAACAACGAGAGAGCATGCATGACAACATGGACAGAAAGAGCCTCCCAGCCTTTGAAGATGGAAGAAAAAAGCAAGACACTCCAAGCATGAAAACAAGACAATACAAGACAAAACAAAGATAGAAGGAGGCAACAACATGGCAAATCGAAGTAACAACAGACCGAAGAAACCCGACAAATAAAGCAAAGAAACGCGTGTCTCAGTCCAGTTGCCCACTGACCCCCTCTTGCTTGCTTCGAGGTCTTTATTAGTCTTTCCGGGCAACTTTTAAATAGTGACGTTTTCTTCTCGTCGATTTGAATTCATCATACTTCGTACAGACGACTCTGCTTTGTGTCCAGCAGCTAGACTCCCCACCCCTTTACAAGCAAGACATAGCTAGCTATCGCTTCGACAAAATGATATACAAAGAAGTTTATCACAGCCCACACCTCGAGAATACATACGTTATACTCCGTACCCATGAGTCGCTCTTTCCCTGCCGCACGCGAAGAACAGGGAAACGTGGCCAGCACGGATCACTCCTTTTCCCTTTCCCATTTTGTATTTTTGTTCCTTTCTTTCCTCCCTCCCCCCGCCTTGAAGCGGTTTCCGGGTGGCAGTTTCCCCCTCCATGTCTCCCGCCGTTAATTTCCCAAACTGTCGCATGGCAGTTGCGGCAGGCCACCGAATAGTGATGCCACATTAATACGACGTACATCGGAGAGAAGACAAAGAGACACGGAGCGTGGCGGAGGCCCGTCTTTCTTTTACTTTTTTGACGTTGGAATGGCGAGTGTAACTCTGCTCTCGCGCGTTCGATTCCGGGAGACTGGAATTGGGCTGTGCACCGCCCAGCGAAAGAGACTCTTCAACCAGAGAACTCACAGCGGGAAGGAACTGTGTCTGTTGTCTGAAAGTAGCCCCTCCTTCTTTTTGCTTCGCCCCCATGTCTCTCTTCCCGCCCCCTTTTCCCTCCCACCACTTGGTAAGATACATTAACCTCTTCCTCGGGACATCGAAGTCGCTTTTTGGGATGGTTGCCTATCTTTTCCTTTTTCCTGCTCTTGAAGGGTTCCAAGGCCATGTGTCGTACGTTTGTGTATAGGGCTCAGTGCAGAGAGTGGTTCACCTGAAAAGGGAAAGAGCCATTTTCCTTTTGCGTCTGGCAGATGCGTAGCGTTCTTCTGGCAGCTCAGATACGTTCTGTACGGAGTATTATTACGACAATACGCATATGTCACTGCCGAAATGAAATTACAGATGTTTTTTCCTGTATGGCAGTCTCGCCTGTCTGTGCCGTGGCATATTCACTCATTGAGTGCGAGCATCCTTCTCCCCATCCTTCAGCAGTGTTCTAAAGAGAGACCCATTTTTTAAGATGCTCTCCCTGCAAGCTCTTCTTGTCTCTGCATGTTTCTCCGCAAAAGGCACAAAGCAAGGTCTTCCAAGGTTTTCTCACAACACAAACACGATTTGGTCATGACCTTGAGCTAAAAAGAAACGTCAGAGAGCAGTTTCTGGAGATGAAAAAAGTTCGTTCGAGGCTTTACGACATACAACATACGGTATACTTCGATTTCATTTCCCAGTGAGAACTCCCATCAGCCGGGCTAGGCTGGAAAGTAACCTATCACGCATCAGTACATGGCACTCCCGCAAAATCATAAAGGAGAAGAGGTACCGACTCGAGGTATCGACTCGTGCCTCCCTGCGAAGATCCTCTGCTCACCAGTTTGGCTCTCCGGCTTTCCAGGTCGAAAACTTGCGCTACTCGTGGGCACGCCCCTCCCAAAGCAAAGTGACCCCTGTTTGTTGGGTTATCAATGCCAATCCTTCCACCCAAAAATGAGACGAGTCGATAGTTCGATGCGCCTTGATTTTCTGTTTAGTTGTTTTCCGTCATTTGGAGAAAAAGTAAGAGCCGATCCCCTCTGATGAATTTCCGCAAGTCTCCTAGCAAACGTTCCAGGTCTCGTTGGCAGTGACCTGCATTTTTCAGCTCATTGTCACACGTAAGATTACCTTATTTCCAAATGCAGCAGTACGCCTTGTTACATACACGATTTTCTTCATTGTTGCACCAGTGTGCTTGATCTTGTTCCCGCTTGCCACGACTTTTCAATCCCCAAACGCCTAACAAAACTAAGGGGCACAGCCTTATTAGGGCCCATGCTTTTAATATGGCC